TCTGCAAAGCTTTATTCCAGAGGGGCTCAGTCCTTCTTGGCAGCTGCCTTCCTCATGGCGGCCAGCACGTTGCTCAGCTCCTCACGCTTCCTCTTGACAAGGACATGCATCCTCACCCTTGGCTTGATGACCTTGAGGGTGCGTTTGTTCTTGGAGACCTTGAACAGCTCCATGGTGCGCCACCCGCTCATAGGGGGTGAAGCTACACACCTCCCAGATCATTTCCCACACAAACTAGGTGTGTTTGGTGAGACTTCCATGACGGTGGCTGTGCCTCAGTTTGCTCACATTCTTAGTCACCTTGTGGCCCTTGTTGAGGCCCACGGCCATGGGATAGCAGAGGGCCATGGCTACTGTTCTTCAATGGTTGCTATCCATATAATCAATCTTAATTCATTTGTGTCCCTTTTGAGCACCCAAAGATAGTGTCACAAAAAGTCTTTATTAAATTTGTGGTGGGAAAACAAGCCCAAAACAAAAGCAGTTATTCAGAAATGACAGATTTGTAACTTTAGTCATTTGTCCTACCTCACTCAGGGACTCTAACCTGAGAACCTGGGAAATCCCACTATTAGCATATCAAAGTGTGATCTGAGCTGGGGTGGGGGTGGGGTGGGAGTATGCTTAGCAGAAATGGTTATGCTCCTGGGAGTCAGGATCCGATGACCTTTAAAATAAACCAGTTTCTTCTTCATAGAGAGTAACGCCCAGAATAGCTTTCTTTGCAGTTCACTGAACACTAAGTACATTCCTGTCACAGTACTTTTACAGTTTCTTTTGCCTAGGATGCATAGTTAATTTTGTCACTTTTTTGTTTCGTGAGACAGGGTCCCACTATGTAGTTCAGGCTGGCCTCCTGCCTCAGCCTCCCAAATGCTGGGATTACAGGCACGCACCACCAGGCCTGGCACACCTTGTCACTTGTCTGGCTTTCTTAATAGAGTGTCAGTTAAGTCTTACAACAACTGATCAAAAACTAAAGTGAATGTTTCTTTTTTAAAAAAACACCTTTATTCTTCTCCCTTACTCTTCTCTCACTTTGAACAAATGTATCTCACTATTCTTTCTGTTTTCTGAACCAGTTTTGAAAGTCTTCCCTATTTTTATTTACACTACCATGGGTGTCCTGGATTGATTCGAAACATTTGCCTTTTCTGGTCTTTTTTTTTTTTTTAATTCATTTTAATGAGAAAAAAAGAATAGGGATGAAACAGTCTCAATACAAGTTAGTAGGACGTTTACAAAAGTTCTGGTCCTTTTGACCTTAGGAAAGTATCAGAAGTTGCATGGTACTACATCCAGTGAATGAGGGGATGAAGACACACCACACCATAACGGTGTTACAAGCCTGCTTTCCTATTGAATGGTGTGCAACAGTGATTGAACAGTTATATTCACTGTATTTTTTTTTAATCATACCTCATAAAGACACTCATGACAGAGGCCTTCCAGGACTGCTTCACAAACACAAGAATAATGGGATAAACATGTTTCAACGAAGGGCAAGTATTTTGAGAGAGATTAATGGCAATGTGTCTTTTACTGTAATAAATTTTTAAAATTTTAGGTGCCAAGGATATAGCTCAACGGGTCCTCATTCGACCCAGACCCGGCATGTGAGTGAGACCGCCCAGAGCCCACTGATCATCAGTCGACCCAGAGCCCAGGCCCAGCGTGTGAGTAAGATAGCCCGGGACGCCC